ACACTTTTAATTGACCGTACTTTCGTATATTGTATGATCATACAGCCAGACTTCCCCCTGTTGCACGTTGTAGTTGGATTGTCATTGCGCCTATGTCAATGCACCTCATTTAATTTCAATATTATAATATAAGCATAATATAAGTAATATGTTATTTCCTTATTCCTCTTTCATTATCATTCATGTTTTATAAATACTTGAACGATTGAATGCAGATATTTCAAATTAAAACGTAAGTACATAAATAAATTATACATTTATAAATTAATGCAATAGGAATTTTTTGAGACAGATTGATGCTGACGCTCATGCATTTCAACCAAACAAACAATAATTAGTTCAATTTTTGACTGCGGAAATTTCATATAGGGTGAAATAACTGATAACAAATTTAACTAGCAGTTTGTTAGCAACACTAAAAACCAGCTGCGCGTGCCAAACTAGTGAACAAAAGGACATTTCGCTTCGCGTGGCACGCCTTAGCATGGGTTTAGCCTCTTCAAGCTATAATCCTATCGCCGCAACAAACAATAGGGACCTTCTGGCTGATGTATCCTGCTGTTAATTACACCTAGTTACAGCGGATTGTCACGCTCGCGCTTGGCCACAGAAACCGGCGTCATGGGGTTCACTCGTATTAAGTATTGTGTTATTCCACCTAAGCTATTGTGTTTGTGCGTTCGAATTTTGAAGGGATTTATACGGCCCTCCATTGTTTGTCCGCCCCCTTCTATTCACAAGATAGGGATTAAAACATTTCGAACGTTGTTACACCGGTGTACAACGGAAACAAAATTATTCCGACCACTGTATATCTTCAGCGGATATATCTAGGGATTCGGAATTTCAAGCTTTAAGTAAGTTGTTATTAGAAATAGATTTAAATGATCAAATTTGACTGTAGATTCCATTATTGCCGTTCTTATCATTCATATTTCAAAATTAGTTATCAAATAAATTTCGCCGTATCGTCTGTGAATAGTTAATTAAGAAATTGCTAACTATAAATTGACTATCATAATCCAAAATTTCAGCTTATCATTTAATGTATCAGATAAATATAATGTAATCAAAATTCTAAGATTGGAATAATCTATAAAGCTATAACGAAAAACTCATTGACCGACAATTCACCGACGATTAACGACATGAACCTGTCGCAATTTTAACTATATTTTCATTCTGATATATTGCTCTGTTATCGTATTACGAAATTGGCTAATATTCGAAAAGTCAGTCGCCCGTTTTGAACTAACTTTAATAAATGAAATATGTTTTCTGAAGTATTCAATAGGTAATTAAAGGAGACAATGAGACACTATGTCACATATGTCACAATTGCCTAATATTCGAAAAGTCAGTCGCCCGTTTTGGACTAATATTTACAACTGAAATGTGTTTTCTTAAGGATCCAATAAGCAATTAAAGGAGACAAAGAGACATTATGCCATAATAGGGTATCTATCATTTTTATTGTGAACGCAAAGTCAACAAAATATAGTGTACCTGAAAACAGTTATGTCACGTGTCCTGGGCTCAGTCTTTGCAAATGTTTCAAGGGCTTTTGGTAATGATACATTGGAGGTAATGTCGTCATTGAGTACTTAGGCACTGTGTCATTTGTGTCCAAATGACTGTCATTACCATTCAAAGCCACATTCAAAATCGTAATCTGAAAAAAAGTGCTTGGGGCAGAGATGTCACTGCTAAATTAAGGTGTCCAATACGCATACAAGGTCATTGAACCGCTAATGTAGTAGGTCACTTAAATGAGTGTTTTGAAGGACCTGGTGAAATAAAAAAAATGTTACCAATTTATATAGATTTCGAAAACTTTATTTTTCAAAAATCTCTGGGGTAGGTGGGGTGGGTTATTGCTCTACTTTGCCCTAAATTAAAATATCTAGATCAACATATCGATTTTTTAGAAGTCATCTTATTTCACATACCTGCTATAATAAACTTGCCATCCGGAAACCGAGGCCACAGGCAACGCCTTCGAAAAAGGCTACATGGTCCAATTGACATTTTGCTTATTTAAGTAGTTTTCAAAAATAATGATAACATATCATAAATCAAAATCCAGTGGCAGGCCAAAATGGTCAATTTCACAACGTAAGTGGTTAGTTAAAACGGTGGTTAAAAATCTACCAATCATGGTCATCCTTGACACGGCTAATTTTGCCAACCAGATAAATACGGCCGCCGTGGGAAAGGCACTTCACTGTCGATAGAGGTTTCGATAGAGAGAGAGACACTAGGACCAAGTGACCGTCATCACCATGCAAACAGCTCTAGCCGTGCTGGTACTCCTACTGGGAGTTGCCTCTCTCGCAAGCGGACAAGGCCTTGTATTCCCATGCGCCAGCATGCAGGCCGTGTGCCGCTATCTGGGCCGTGGAACCACGGTGAAGATGACCTATCCCACATCGGTCAGATCCTGCATCTGTGGATCCGCAGCCGGACCCTCTCCGGGCAATCCGGTAGGATGCAACTGGAACCCCATGGGCGGTGAACTCGACGCTCTTGGAAAGTGTCACAATATGCAAGAGGTAGGTTGACTGTTGTAGAGTCCACAGCCCGATATGACGCTATAAGGCCCTTTGCAGCTAGATAACATTATTTTGTTTTCTGGAGACGAAACCAGTCAAAATGTAGTAATCTAGCTCCGCAAAGGCCTATTGCATTTACATGCTGTTGTGATTATTTGTTACATTTTTATCTGTGCCTTTAGATCCTAAAAAACTAGCAATAAATAAAATGTAGATAGATAGATAGATAGATATAAGAAATATAATAGATTAGAAATAAATAAGATACGTTTTAATAATTAAAGAGGTTTATAAAATGACAAATAAAGAAGCCATAGAGTCTTTCCGTGTTAATCTTTTGGACTCATGGATTTCACCTTCCACATAAAGGCAGTCAATTTGAAAATATCTATAACATGTTAAAAAGTAGCGGACTAAGACCATTACATAGAGAATATTCCTACCTATCGCTCAGTAAATGTCGATTTGTCAACCTAATTAGTGATAAGTCAACATTGAATTCACAATAGATTTTGAATGCTGACTTTTAAATGTTGATTCAGGATTAAATCTTCGTTAATCAACGTTTAAACTTAATTTGAATATCAGGCGCAGCATTTATTCAACATGTTGTACTGATTTACTTTTCATAGTTATCAATATGCTCTTCCTTGGACAATATTTGACAACGGTCCAGTTCTAATATGAGAGCTGGATCAACAAAAATGGCACTGATAATCATAAATTGCCATATCTTATACTGATTATTATTTTTTAATTTTATTTTTGAACTGTTCTTTTCCATTTTCAAACATACATTGGTGCAGTGCGGGCGAGCACCTATAAATTTCCTCCATCAAACACAAGGTATTTGAAAGCTACGGACATAATTGGTATATCCATGCATTCCATCGTTACAGGTGTGTTCACACGTGGATAAAGATCACGAACGTGTGCAAATTAACTGGGATGATGGATCGGCGAGATTCGGCTGTGTGTGCGGGTCCGACCACCCCCCCGGCACTCCAAATTTCGCAGTTGTTGGCTGTAACTGGAGGCCTCCATTAGGCCGGCGCCTGCCTCCAATTGAGAAGTAGGAATTAAAGGTGGGTAATTGATCTAATGCATTATCACTCGATAGAGCTGATAAATGTTTATCTAAAAATGTAAGGAATCAATTCTCCTTCCTCTGATCTCTTACCCTCGCCTCTTTCTTTTTAAAGGCACATAACGAGACGCAAAAAGAACAGGCTCGTACTCAGGTGGGGCAGGTTCATCCTGGTAAAAATTTGATAAGATTCACGACGATTTAATGATAAAAGGTCCACTTTTCAGAAAAAAGAATCCCTCTTTTAAAACTGTTGGCGGGCCTGAGTCGTTTATCCATCAGACTCGAACAGTTATCGGATTGTAATAATTTTCATTCTATTTTCAGCAGCCCACCCCTATCCAGCACGAACAGACGACGTGAGGCCGCCGACATCATCTGAAACTGAAGAATAAGAAAATTCTAATTTTTGGATTTCGGCTCATGTCTGTAATATATCGCTGCATGAATCAATTTTATTATTTATTTCTAATTTCCTTCCTACACAGAGAGTTTAGAAAGGTATGAAAAAATAAATGAATAAATGATTCAAGTTACTTGTCGTTTTGACTTATACTTTTGATCGCTCACTAATTCTCAGTCAGTGTTAAGCCTATCTAACACAGAAGTTGATTCAAATATATGAAATTATTTGAACAAGTCTCAACCTCCTGATAATAAGGACTGAGTTTAACTGCTGATATAAGGCCAATACCTTAATACATAAAGATGACAAGATGTTCGCAGCTGTACCCAGTACAAGGCACTTACTCAAGAAAAACAATTTTTTTAATTATATTTACTGGGTCATTAATGTGATATCTACTCCAGTAGTGAAAAAAATTCGTGGGCTTTACTCTCAACTCTAGACAGAAGCATATCCGAGCTCCCGGTCGGCTTCCTTCCGTTTCTCCCATCACCCTGTGAAGATCTGAGGGAACAATACGTAGTGCCTTAAATACTTTGGTGTTTTAGTCTCCAAATTCTATAAAATAGCAATTTGTCTTATAAATAGGCCGACCTAGGATTATATTTATTATTACTGAAGATCCCAATTACAACCAAGACGTACATGTATTTTGGTTTAGCGCTTTTTAGATTTTTATCAAAACATTCAATTTTTACGAGGCTACGAATCGTCTCCTGTAGATTAGTGCCATTGCCTTGCTTTCATAAAAATTAAATTTGTTTATCATTTCGCGGCAGTGAAAGTTTAATGCGATACGTCGGTTAATTTCGCCGACCTGGTGGGTTTTCTGATATGAAGTGCCTAAACTTAACCTTCTTACATTTTCGAATGCAATTAGTAATAACATTAGCGATCAAGCACGTATATGTTCTTATGAAGAGTGGGGGAGGGGTGAAAAATTCCCTTGGGGCCACATTTAACACTATAAATACAAAAGGAATCCCCTTACAATAAAAGCAAAATAAATTTTATTCTAATGAAAGTCCAATGGCTTTACTTTTTAATACAACCAACAGAATATTTCCAATATAATTTCTCAAAACGACACCAGAAAGCTAATTAAATTAAATCAACCAGACGGTAAACAGTGGCAGACTTTGTCAATTTCACCAACTTGTTTATTTCAAACAACGTACTTTCGCACATGCGCAGTCATTTGAATCCTGTGCTTGCCTAAGTCCCTTTTACTTCATAAGGGCGCGTGTTAATCAATTTTAGTGTTGGATGGGCTTACCATTCAGAAAACAGCTACGTAGAGTGTTCCTTCCTTTAGGGAAAAGTGCGGACTTAATAATCTTTGGACTTTCGGCATGTACCTGAAAAAAAAAAGAAATTTGATGAAAATTTTAAATAAACCATTGTACTGAATAAACCACCATGATTTAGACTTCTTTACTTCCAGGAAGGATTAAAAAGACGTCAATACGAATTTGACTTTCATCAAAATGATAACAAAGGTGTTTTGAAATTTCCTTGATAGTGGCTCAGGGTCTAAGGTGAACAAGTGAATTGTTTTAACTACATATTAAAAAATATATTCTTTAAAACTTGCTCACATACTCAGCTGACAAGGGAGTGGATAAGAATAGCAGTGGATTGAGGAGGGAGAGTAGAGTTACGTTGAATCGTAAGAGTTGAGTCCATCCCATTGAAAAGGGGTGTCAGGTGGGGCGAGTCCATTTCATTGAAAAGGGGTGTCAGGTGGGGCGAGTCCATTTCATTGAAAAGGGGTGTCAGGTGGGGTGAGTCCATTCCATTGAAAAGGGGTGTCAGGTGGGGCGAGTCCATTCCACAGAAAAAAGGGGTGTCAGGTGGGGCGAGTCCATTCCACAGAAAAAAGGGGTGTCAGGTGGGGCGAGTCCATTCCATTGAAAGGGGTGTCAGGTGGGATGAGTCCATTCAACATGAGGAGGGGTGGCAGGTGGGGCGAGTACATTAAATTGGACAAGCGACAGGTGCATTGACCCCATTTTACCAAAGGTGCCTTATGGGGCAATTCAATTCTATTTGAGATTCTCAAATTTAGCTTTTCCACAATTTAATAAAACTTAGCATTATTTATTGTGCATTATTAAATTTGTTAGATTCGAAATAGGTCACAAAACACTAAGTAATCATAAAATATATCTTAATTTTTTTTTTATCTCAATTTGGTTCAGTGAAAAGGGAAAAAAGTGTGTTCTTATATTCCTTTAAAATATAAATGTTGGGAAAATTTAGACTTTACCATTATTAGGTTACGTCAGAATATTTTCACTTTTTTCCTTTTTCTTTTTAAATTTGAAATATTCATGTCAATAATAAGTCACCAACTATTTATCAATTTACGGAAGCATTAACCAGAACCTGTTGAAAATGGGTCCGTCCTATATTAAGAAATATAAGCAAATTATTTCTAAGAGGGACGACAAACTTATAAGTTCCATTTTGCTATTAAACAGAAATTGAATGTGAATAATATTACTCATTTCTTCTTATCATATAACTTTTATCGTTATTATCATAACATCATAACAAAATAAAAAACAGAATTACATAAGTATTTATTCAATTTTCACATAATATATGCACGGTTCCTGGATGTGAAACGAAGGCTTGGTACGGAGGGTTGTTTGCAGGGGCATGTTTTGCAGAATCTCGTTGAGCTGCTGAAAAGAGAAAATAATGTTTACAACTATGGACTAAACGGAGAGGCTATTAGTATACGCAAAACATACGTAGGGGAGAGCGGGGTTGGTTGGAACACTTTTCACTTTTTTTGCGATATCTCAGCAGTCAAAGCTTTGGGGACAAAAATAAAAACACTGATAGGGGATAAGTATATGCCGCACTCATCTATGAAATAAAACATCAAGTAGGTATTTTTATTTTAGAGTAATAAATACTCAAAGTTGCCTCTTAAAACGTTCCATCTCACCCCACCCGCGGGGTAAGTTGGAACAGTCAGTGGGGTGAGTTGGAACAAGAGGGCGAGTTGGAACGCTTGCATATAAATTCAAAGTATAATTCATTTTAAGAGTAGGTTTATCTATATTAATTTCCCAACAAGAACGTATTACCTTGTATTCGTATCTCCATAGTTTGTAAGCATTTTTTAGGTTTATAATTTGCTTTCAAANCAATTATTGCTGGACTTGAGCTGTTTTGGGGTTTTCTTAAGTGCGCTATAGTGTGCTGTAGCACCTCTTCCGGTGAGGGCAACTAAGATTTCAACTGAAACTTTGCCTAAGTTACGAGGTGAATGTTTGTCTTTTCTGGCGGATTTTGTACTCTCGTTCACTAAACATTAACAGCAACCCCCAATCCATTACACAAAGCATTTAAAACAATATTGGCAGAATTGGTGTTGTATAGTTTATCCATAACGTAGGCTCTCAGCTAGAATATTTTCATTTTGCCGCGAAATGCAGAGTAAGGCTTCGTTCACATGCAATGTCTATTTTCTAAATTCTATTTTCTATTTGCGGTATGTCTTATGATCACGGTCTGTGGCCTGAATATCCCGCGGCGTAATTACTGGCAGCGCGAGCCAGTTACTATAAGTTACTATAAGTAACTGGCTCGCGCTGCCAGTAATTACGCGGCGGGATATTCAGGGCACAGACCGTGATCATAAGACATACCGCAAATAGAAAATAGAAATTAGAAAATAGACATTGCATGTGAACGAAGCCTTATAATCGACATTTTCTTCCACTTCTAACAGAAATTTATCGCAAAGAGTAACAGTTGGCATGCAGACCTCTTTCGACCAAACAGCTAGCAACTGCATTTAACAAGCAGTGACCATCCCCCCTTGTATTTTCTACAAGCATGTACATTCCGGCATCTTGGAGATGTTCTACCAGCTGGATTTCGTCTCCAGTTGGAGTTGTACTGGGTTACTACATTACTACTCTCTTTAAAGTTGAAAATAAAACATTTAGAGAGATAAAAAAAAAAATGAAAAGCACCGTGCGGGGTGGGTTGGAACACTCCTGACAGTGTTCCAACTGGCCCCATGTCAAATGTTCCGACCAACCCCCATGACGTCATGGCCTACTTATGACACTGTACTTCTTTAACACGTGGGAGGTGATTAAAAAAAACTACAGCTTTTTGAACATAAAGGTGGTCCTAAGCGCTATGCACAATTTCAGTGATATAATCCTTATACTTTGGTCTACAGCACGATGAGAGTCAAAAATATGAAAACTTACTTCGAGTAGCGAAAATGAGTTTTTTTCGCATAAAACTTTTACTGCATTTTCGAAACTTCCAAAAGTTTACCGGATGAATGGCCATACCAAGTGACATTTTTATTCTGAAGGAGCACATGATCGGTCTTGTGGTTTAAGAAATAAAGCCAATGTTCCAACTTACCCGCGTTCCAACCCACCCCGCTCTCCCCTAATATCACAACAGAGAGAGTACTTATATTTACTGGCTTGACTGATGTTCATGCTCAGCTAGCCAGGAAAATCAGGGAGCGTCCTGCATCCCGTACTTTTGGAGTCCCAATGCATTGTAACCAATAAATTCTACCATTCAGATTGACACGCATGTGGTTATGTAATGGAAATAGGCTACTATTAGTAGTACATATACAAGGACTCATGTTATAAAAACATGTATTTTTCGTAAATATAATTTAATTCGTCTGCTGCTTAAGCATTTAATGGAAGAAATAGTGATACTTACAAATATGTATTTGCTTCTACACCTAGTAAAAAGTCGATCTTCTGACTGCACCACCTGCCCATGCTGTGTCTACACCCAACCCTGTCTAACTTCCAAGTGACCGTTCGTGACGAAAACTCTCACTTTGACGAGCAACGTACTTATTGTTATGCAAATTACAGCAGGTATGGTTCATTTAAGGTGAGAGACTGTCACTGAAACTGGTCACGAATGGTCAATAATAATCCGTCGGTGATGCCTTTCCTTAGGGCCCCTTTACACTGGACGGCGTCCTTTCTGCGTCCAGCAGTACGGTCCCATTTGAGAGTTAAAAAATTATAATACTTTACG